TGTCAGCTAGAACAGCTGTAATTTAAACCATTCTAGAACTATGTTGAAATTTATTGTACTATGGTTTAAGTTGGGTCAAGGCCTCAGTATACTTCCATATTCACTATATGTAAAATTGAAGCCCAAAGACAAGTAAATCAGTGCTGTATTGAAGTTAGTGCATAAAAAGAAAGTCTATCTTTGTAAATTTTTAATTGTTAACATCAGTTGGTAGTTGTAAAAACATGCACCAAATTCTAATGTTCTGTGTGGTTCTTAGTGTGCTATTGACACTGCTGTCCTTACTGCTTGGTTCTTGGTTTTAAATTAAAAAGTAGGCATAGCCCCTTTTCTAAAGTGTGGAGCTGTAAATGGCTACTGATCTTAAGATAAGGATGTCTTTTTTTCTTCCTAAAGAAAACAATTGAAATCTAAATTAATTTACGGAAATAAGCACTGTCATTTTTCAAGTATTCTGCCAATATCATAAATTGTGTTTAAACATGAAGGATAATGAATGGTTTTAACGGTGCTATATTAGGTTTTGATTTTCATGAGCTGTTTAGAAATACAATAGTAACGCATTTTGTTACCAATATTGTCATTTAAATTTAGCGTGGCCATTGGTCATACTTGTTTTTTAAAGCTATCCTTTGAGAAGTAAAAATGTGTTATTAGCCTACCTCCACCTTGGGCCTCTTGGTGTATGATCACTTTCCCAGGTTATGATGTGCATAGCTTTTAAAATATCTATGTACTATTATAATGTTCTTTCCCCGTAGACTCTTGTAATGTATTCAGAACCTAAAATTATAGCAAAAAGAGCCAAGCAGTAGCATTGTGGGTTTTTTTTGTAAATGTAAAAATACTTAGATCCAGACTTTGTTTCCTTCAATTTTAAAAATAAAAAATACCTCAGTGCTATGTTTTTCAGCATCACCTGCATTTCTCCAAAAGTAACACCTGCTTTATGTGGCACATAACTTGTAAGAATCACATTTTGGATTTTAAAGAAAGACTATTAAATATTTTAAAATCACTATCAATGATATTTTCCTTTCTTTTATTCAGTAGTGAAGCATGACTACATTAGTAATTTTTACTGTAGAGCCCAGGTCTAAAATTTCAGCTTCTCTAAATAGTTTCATCCTGCTACAAAGACTGTGGTATCTCAAAAAGCTGTGCTTGTGTTTCATGTATTAAGCTACTTACTTTTGGGATCCAGCTTCCTGAATTGTCAAGTTCATCAGGCTCTGGTATCCACTACTTTCTGCAAGGAATTATCCTTTCTATTAGAAAAAAAATATCAGTGATACATCTAACCACGGAGAATAAAGGTTGTATGGTGGGGACCTAACTTGAAATTTGTTTTGAAGTGCTTTGTTGAAAGTCATTGACATTTTGTTTTTCTACCCTGTAACACACTTTGATTTCTCTACTTATGGTACAAAAATCCTTAAAATGACCTTTTTCTTCATAATAGGTGCTACTGCTTACTGGACATTTGCAAGCTACCTTCTAGTTGAGGCCGCTTTTGGGTCTTTAAGTGTTAGCTGTCCTCACAGTTGCTGTGCAGTGCTGGGTGATTAACTGGGCTTTTCTAGTCTCTTTAAATTACACTAGAAAAGAACCTTTACAGTAACTCAATAAACCTGAATTGTTCTGGATCTGTTAAGCTCCACGCAAAGAACATGTGGACCTAACAGTGATAACCACTGAAGCTCCCACAACAAAATGAGGCAGCTTTAGCACAGTGCTGCTCTGGTATTTACAACTGCAGGCCCTAGAACTTAGAACTACCTGGTTTGACCTCCTGTTCTCCCATGTCACTGTTGAGTAAGTTTTAGTGTTCTGTTATTTTTAAACATTACTACTATTTGTCACAGAGATGTGAAGGTGTTTTAGAATGAAAGGCTCCTGGTTAGCAACGTATCAGTGTTTTTACATCTACTTTAAAAAATGGCTTATAAATATGAATGTTGCCTAGATAAGTTTATAGAAGGTAAGTTGTGTAACACACAAAGAAAAACACGCACTGGTCATATCACTTTTATTTAATTTTATCTATTACAATTTATTCAATATAGAAAAAATATGAATACATTCATAGTATTCTCTTTTAATTTGGTAATTCCATGTTGTCAAATATTGACTGCTTTTATATTGGGTGTCTTACCCAATAGAAAAAGGAAGAACAGATCTCACAAACAGTTCTTGTATTGTGTTACTGATACAATAATAATACCATTTATTTGACTTTTTATTTTTTAAACAAAGAACCTAATTGTTAAAAAGATTAAACTGTTTTCTGACTTAGGGAAATGTTTTTAAAAACACAGATTAATACATTCCCCAAGGATCCATCACCCAAATTTGGAGGTTAATATCTTAAAACACCTCAGTGATCAAGGAGAAGACGTACACTTCTTATAAAGGGGTCAGCTAAAAGAAAAGTGACCCAGTGCACCATGGTTCCAAAGTCATATTAGCATCATTATGTTGGAGGAAAAATCCATACTTAGAAGTCAGGTTTCTTTTAAAAATCTTTTACAGGGCTGGGGATTTGGCTTAGTGGTTCCACTGCCTGCCTTGCAAGTGCAAGGGCCTGAGTTCGGTCCCCAGTACCAAAAAAAAAAAAAAAAAAAAAAAAAAAAAAAAACATTTTAAAAAAAAAAAAAAAAATCCATTTTACATATAAAAATCAATGATTTTTTGTTTTTTGGATGTAGTAATTTCATTAGGTCAAACTCACAAATCAATGCTACAAAATATAGTATTTCTATTAGTTTTAGTTATAGTGTACACTATGTACAGCAAGACAAGAGTCACTACCTTATACTAAATACAAATGAACAGTTTGTTAAAATCCAGAATCAGGACTTATAAATAGTGCAGAAAATGCAAATGCCAAAAAGACGATGCCTCCTATGATTGTCACTAGAAGAGAAGAGAAAAAAATTAAATAAAGCAGAGTTCTCCTATAGTCTTGATTCTGTACAAACAAAATTCTAAGGAAGTCAGTGAAGATGCCTGTTATTCTTACAGTCTAGTAATCTATCCCTGAAAACTAGCACTATTCACACAGCAAAGAACACAACACTCTTGACTCAAGGGGAAAAATCAGTTTCTCCACTATCACTGTTTTGGGAAATAACAAGATTATATGTATATATATATTTTTTTTGTACCAGGGTTCGAACTCAGGTCCTTGTGCTTGCGAGGCAGGCGGCAGAACCACTGAGCTAAATCCCCAGCCCTATAACTCATCTTAAAACCTAATTACTAAAAAGAACAAATGACTTACTTATTAATTTTAAAAGAACCAATGTTTTTTAAAAATCAAAAGACCTTACCAGTTCTGACAGAGATTTTCTGTGCTATCATTCTTCCTCCAATTACTGCCAATCCAGTACATAAGCAGTGCCCCACTGTTCCACCCACAGCCACACCATAGGGATCCTGGAAGCAAAGACAGGGACCATTATTAGTTTTCTAGTTTGAAACTAAGGTTGAACTTGCTCCTTGAGAAAAGTGACCCCTAAGCACCAAAAAAATGGAGATCCACCACAAGAATACAGTTCTAAAAATTCAAGTGTTGTAACTTTATTATGAAGGGTGGTAACAGCTGCTTAAAGCAGTATGTACCAGTTGTATCTACAACTAGACATTAAATAAGAAAAAATAAAACAAAAAACAGGAAAACTTGGCCATGTTTCAAGAAAACAGAAACCCTGGATCCTTCTGCTCCATGCCCCACCCGCTCCCCAGAACCAGGAACAAGTTCTTCATCTGGAGGCATTCTGTGGAGGAAAAGGTAGCCCTAAAGAATGAGCAGGTGTTAGCAAATGATCTAATTTGTGGAAGAAGGAACATGCTTGAGGAGGAAGACAACCTACTGCAGAGAACTTCAGGATTTCTACAGAAAACCAATGAGGAGTAAGAAGAGTCCATCAGACAGAAGCAGCGTCATGAAGGAACCTTAGCAGCTTGAAGTTCAGCCTCTGTCTGAGACACTGGCTGCATTTTACAAGGGGAGTACCAGGACAGATTTATGCTTTAAAAGTCTAATGGAGAAAATGAATGGAGGAGAACAAGACTGGGAGGCAACATGACAGTGCTGGACTGAATTAGTAGGAGACAACAAGCAAAGAAAAACATACGAATTTGAGAGAAAGTAGGAGGCATAAAGGCTTTTGATCATACCAGATTTTATGGCTCTTGGCAGAAATTAAAAGTAGAGAAGTTCAACTCAGTCAAATTTGGTAAAAATAAACTCAGGGCCTGAGTGTAATAACCCTGGGAGAGAATGCAGAGAGGATTCTGGTGATGGAAAGGCAGCCCCACGAGAACCAAAACAAGTATTAATGGCCGCATTGAGCTCAAGTAAAGCAATAAAACCAACACGCCCAGGGGATCAGAGACAAGTCCTGTGTGTTAAGTAAGCAGAAAGGAGCTGACCATGAGAAAAAATTGTGCATGCTAGAAATGTTCACAAAGTTGGGCTAAAAGACAAAGGTTTAAGTTAGCTGGGGTGAGGGAAAGCTGGGCAGCCGGGCCTGCCACTATGATGGGTGGGGCTAAAAAGAGGACTTTTCTCTCCAGGTGGAGGCCAGGCTAGCTGTTGCACGGTGGGCATTGTATATGCAGAGCGAGGACATGGAAATGTAGCTCAGCGTGAAGGCCCGGGTTCAGTCCCCAGTAACACACACACACACACAGAGACCATATTTCCCAAGTTCTGTTACTAAAAACTGCTGCTCTATTTGATAATGATACTTGAACTATCACTGGTTAAAGAAAATCAAATAGTTCCTTTAATACAGGAAAAAGAGTTCTATTCTGCATACTATCCTAAAACAAGAATTTATAATCAGGAAAATCTGACTGAAACCTCCATTTCTCATTACCTGCTAACATCTCAGAAGACCTAAGATTCTGTGAAATCCAATTTTGGAATATTAAGTTGTATTGGAAAGCAGAGGTACAGTTACAGGCACTGATCAGGGTGCTACATGGTTGACAAAAAATCTTAAAGGAGTGAAACCAGATTAACTCAGCTGTTCAAGAGCTCACTAACGCTGTGGTGCTGGTAGGGTGGACAGGTGGCTTAACAGTGAGTGCTGGGCTGGGGCTGTGTTAGATACCTTACATGTGTTACCATCTGCAAGAGAGGTAAACTCCACCTGCAGATGAAGAGAAAGAGGGAGGTGCAGTGAAGTGGTCACAGCAAGAGAATTAAATCCCAGGCTGCATGTGCTGTGCTACTGCTAGACCAAGGGTCCCACCAGACAGGGAGCCAGGAACCTTCCCAGTCCCCTGGCCTACGGGAGGTGGTGCAGCAAAAATGCCAGCACCGCACACCTGGCAGAACCACACCACCAGGTCACTTACTTATAAGTCCCAGTTCTGGTACCTGACAGCCAATAAATGGCTAGAAATCAAGAATATAGGGCACAACTATTAAAGTAACATTTTAAAAGAAAGTTGGTCTTAACAGGACTCATGAAAAGTACTTCTTTTTTCTTCCCAAAACAGCATTTTTTAGGCTTCTCTGGCAAAACAGCCTTTCCCAACTATCTTAGTCTTGGCCCTCAAAGACTTTATATTTTCAACTTCCACCTATGTTAAGGAATTTATTCTGTTATGGTAGCCATCTCCAAGGATTTAAAAGAATTTTTAATTGATATAGTTGATGTGAAACAGCAATATTAAGATCAGGAAAAGCCTAAATAGTAGATACAGCTTCCATAATCCTCTCCTCAGTACATCTTTTTAAGTTTGTGCATAGTGACAGATACAGTACCTCAGATAAAGTAATATTCCCCTCAATAGAAAGGTTAAAAAATAAAAAACATGTCTTTTCAATAAGTGACATTAAATAGCTATGTACAAAATAAAAGGGCTACAGAGCTGACAGCTGCAGTTCTAGTCCTGGTCCCACTCTCAGCCAACTTTGATCCTCATTCTAGCTAGCCAGGCAATCTCTCTGGGCCTCAGGTTCTTTATTGAGTAAAGGCTGGAAGCAGAGAATCTAAGGTTCTTCTGGCTTACTATTTATTTGATACCAATATTCTAGAGCCAAGACTTATCAAAAAATGATGCTGAGAAGTGAATACATGAAAAGCAACACATAAATGTGTGAATAATTGAACCTCTCCTCTACTGGATAGGTCAGATTGTTTCTAAATTTTCATTTGATTGCATTAAACATTTTATAAGCAACCTGTGCAACATTCGGTTATTTCTTTAGCTATAAGGAACAGAAGAACCAGAAGTTAGGCATATTAAAAGGCCTTGGGTACTTATTGCCAAACTGGCCTTTAATATAATACCATCTCAGGCCAGGCATTTAGCTCAGTGGTTCCACTGCCTGCCTCCTAAGCAGAAGGTCTAGAGTTCGATCCCGATACACAAAAAAAAAATATGTACCATCTCTTCTCAGCCTTTTGGCTAAGATCATGTACAGTATCTGTTCTTACCAGTTTAATATTATACCAACTTATATTCAAAAAACATACCAACAAAAGTTCTGAGAAAAGCCACACCAAGAAAACAATAGCCCACCCCCCAGCTTCATCAACAAGAGAAAAAGTATAATTTCTACCTAAAAGAATTCTATCATACTGCCAGCAGAAACTGAAAGGCTAACTTGAGCAAGGGTCAAGGTGCCTAGATGTAAAACCAGTCTAGACAGGAAATAATCCCTTGCCCAACAACTGTGCAATGTTATCTCGCAAAGTAACATTAATTATGTTTTAGTTTTAATACAAAAGTAGTCTTTTCTCAAATGTCACTTACCTCTCTAGCTGCCAAAACAATTGTCGTGAGTTGAGAGCGGTCTCCCCATTCTGCTAAGAATGTTAATGTAAGAGCTTGAACAAAAATGGGTGAAATAAAATGCAGCCACTTTTTCTGAGGTATTGTTGTGCTTGTACCCACTTCAACATCTCCAGGACCATTTAGGAGTTTGGTTCGTTGAAACTAAAATGAAAAATGACATTAATTCTAGGAAGCAAATCAAAACAGCACACACACAAATCACTAAATCTTTTAAAAAGTGTATCAATTCTATGGAACACACTCCAAAGAAAAAAAAATTTTGTGAGCCCAAACTCCACCACCCTTAGAACCACTGGTTTCAGGCCGCAACAAATGCCATATTCTCAATGCTTCTGTTCCTCTTCAGATGCTATGGAAGAAACGTGTAAAAAGCAGCTCCTGCTTTTTAAGCCTAATTAAGGAATCTGATTGCCTATGTTCAATATTCATCTCTCTGCTTCCTTCCTCTACCATATACATTAACACGAACCCAGAATCCTATCACAGAGATAAGAATGGAAACCAAACAAAATAAGCTATTTTTGTGAAGCCCACATGTATCATACAGATGTGGCCCATGAAAACCTCTGGGTAGTGTTTATTCCTCAGTGAGTACCTTTCTGCCCATCTCTGACAGCTCCATGACTTACTTCTTCATCTTTCTTCTTTAATTCTGCTTGAACTTCTTCCAATTCCTCTTGACCCTCATCTGGACTCATCTTTAAGCCTTCCCGAAGCATTCTAATGCCAAAAATGGCAAATAATGCAGTTGAAACATAGTATGTGTACACTCTGGGGATGACTGTGGTGGCATAGCCAAACAAAACTGGAAGAAAATATAATGAACAGTGTATCTGCTTAGCTGGCGAGTATCACAACTAAACACAAAAACCGCTAACTTTGGAGAAATCATGTCTTACCACTGTTTGTCACATGTCATGAGCGTCTGGTGCTTGAAGCAGGTTAGCTCTGATACCCCCTAAGGAAGTCCTTTAAGGATTCCAAGATTTTATAACTTCGAAAGCATACTATGTCCATATGCAGATCCATACTCACCAAAAATGGTTTTAATTATAAACATCTATAGCAGTGATGGCAAGCCTTTCAGAGCTTTCAATGATAGCCATAGGCTCGCCACCACTGCTATAGAGCAGTTAACAAACCATGACAAGATTTTCATATAGCATGATTCAAACTTCTCCTTTTTGATTAAAAACATTCTGAAAGAAAACTAAAAAATTCTTACGCATATGTGTATATACACACAAACACAACACAGGTATGTATTTTCTAGCTCTGTCCCCTGAAAAGGCCAAGGAACAAAAATATCTCCGTAACAAAAAGCCCATGCTACACCCAGATCCAGGGTTCTAATAGTGCTTTCCACTAAAAGGCTCCTCAAAGAAATGGCCAATTCTAAGACTAAGCAGAAATACAAGAAGAACCTGCAATATCTTGTTTTACTGGAAAGGAAAAGCAAACACAAATGATGGGAGCATATCCTAAGGAGGCAGTTGGCAAGGCTCTCATGGACCAAATCTGAGACAATGCAGTCAACAAAACAGTCTAATAATTAGTTCTGAAAAAAGGAATTAAAGAGTAAAAGACAAATGGAAGACAAAAAAGTTCTGTGGAAAGAAGAATGCCAGAGCTCACTGGAAAATGTACAGTAGATATGGGAAGCGGAAGTAATCATTTTTCAAGCACTGAAGGAAGATTAAGGTTAGGCCAGAATCACGCTAACTCTATGGGACAATCCTGTTAAGGAAGACTCTATAGCCTGCATATCAGTTGCAAGACAGTATAGAAGAGATTAGGAGATTGAAATGAATACAATTTTATTTATGTAAGTCAAACAATTCTATAGCAGTTGGGCAAAAAATTAATATACAAACCTGAGCAAAAGGTATATAGGTGTTCATTATCTAATTTGTATAGCTTTACGAGTCTAAAATTATTTCTATGAAGTTTTAAAATTTCAAAAATAAAAGTCAGCAAATCTTTACAATCTCTCAAACTTAGTTACCCGTTTATCCTCAGATGCAGGTATGTTCAAAATGCCTGAACCCTGGGATAGAACCAAACCCTATGTTCACTGGGCTTTTTCCCTTAGGTACACCTGGGAAGCACTGCCTCACAATACCTTCCATGCTGTATGGAGTGGCAGCACCACTTGGGCACTGTGGAGCATTAAGTAAAAAGAGTTATACTACAAACACAGCACTGCAATGCCACAACAGTTGTTCTGAAAACCGAGACAACTGCTGGGTGATGATGGATGCTGCGTACAGCACAAAGACGGTGGACAAAGGGGTGTTTCATGGCACGGGTGGGATGAAGTGCAACACCAAGGTCTCACCATGCTATTCACAACAAAATACAATTTAAAGTTTTTTTTCTGGGATTTTTACATTTAATATTTTCAGACCACAGTTAACTACAAATAACTGAAAATGCAGAAAATGAAACCTCACATGACAGGACTACTATAATCTTTTTAAAAAAAGTTATTTACTGATATTTGCTGTCTTGCCATCTCTACTGAAAGAAACATTATCACTGTTTTTTCTTCCCCTGATTATTGGGCCTACTGTCCTTTCTTTGGAAACCTTTCCTGACAGGCAAACACTTTATTGATAACAGGACACTGAAATTAATAAAAATTGCAATTTTTCCAACCATTTCTAAACATATCCAGTTAAACAAGATACTTGCAAGTAAAAGGTTAATCTGAATAGGAGAGTAATTGTTACGTTTCAGAAAAGCCTTTTTAGGTATCTTGGTTTCCAATACTCTTTGGTTAGCAAAACTGACAGAAGACCATATTGAGCTCTCAGCTGATTAAATTGTTAAAATCAATCTGAGGAGAGACCAGTAAGTTTTCAAAGTTTTGGAATAAGTGACATGGCTATCACAAATGTCTTCCCATCAACTTATTTACTGAAAAATTTTCAGCCCTTACATCTATTTTTCTCTTAGAAAAGATCAGTGTTGATACTAAACTTTCTCACTCTATCTCAACAAGTGATAGTCATCCACAGACACACAAACTAATTTAAAAATAATATTTCATTATATCATTAAGACACACATTTCCAGTTTTAAAAAACTGTATTTAGCTAGATGCAGTAATGCATACCTGTAATCCCAGCACTCTGGGAGGCTGAAGGCAGGAGGACTGCATTCAAGACCAGCCAATTTAATAAGACCTGGTTTCACAATAGAAAAGGGATGGAGATACAACACAGTGCAGAGGCTATTGGCTTGACCCTCGGTACCACAAAAGAGTTTATGAGTTCTCAAAGGAATTATGGTGATGGTAGTTATCAAACTGTAATAGTGTTTAGAGTCCATTGATTACTTTAAAATACTCTACCTGTCCTTACTTTACACAATATAGCAGAAATGACATTTTTGCAACTCCTTAAATTCATGATAAAAAAAATTTAGGTAACTTCAGTGTGACAGTGAGTAAATGATTTTTAAAATGATTTTCAAGACCACACTGGGAAAGGTTTGCAGAACCCTGATACGCACTATTTCAAGGTCACAGGTGAGAAGGGCTGTCAGACAATGCCAGGAGCTAGAGGGAGACACAGGGCTGAGAATAGACAAGACACAGGATCCTGGCAGCAGAAGAGAAGGAACTGAACACAAAAGAGGCAGGGAGACTAACTTTTACCAATCCTTGAAGCTGCAAATTTCAGTAATAGACTTCTTGATTCTGTTCAAACTCATTCCAAATAAGTGATGTCACCATTTGCAACTCTCCCCATTTCCTATCTCCTATAATCAAATTGCTGTGCTCACTGAGGCAGCACATATACTAAAAAATAACTAACTTGCTTCTGAAGAGAAAATTATGTTTTTATTGATAATTCCCACACTAATTTCCAAAGTGCACAAAGTATTCAAATTATTTTCATTGTTAAAACACTAATTTTTATGCTTCTAAAGACATAAACTCTTATCAAGTATATAGCTACCAGGTAGCCAGAAATGAAACTTGTTCTGCACTGTAAGAAAGAGAAGTGAATGACAAAGCACTCCAAATAGCATATCTCAGTAATAAGAATATAACCTATGAGGTAGGCAGACAGAATCTCCATTTTACAGATGGAGAAACTAAAGCTCAAAGAGATTAAATAACTTATGATTAAGCTAAAAATCTAAGTCTGGCTCAAAAAGAGAAAGCAGAATTTTCATCAAACCATACAACTGCAGGTAGCTACGGAATTAAGAGACTAAACTGTGTTAACTTAAAACTTCTTATAATCTAAACCTCTGAAAAACCAAAGCCTTTAAATTATAAATGAAACAGTAACATAAAAACAGAATTCTAAGAACATTTTATTTCTTACCATAATGGGTAAGAACAGCTTGGTAAGGGCCAGGGATTTAGCTCAGTGGTTCCGCCGCCTGCCTCACAAGGGCAAGGACCCAAGTTCAATCCCCAGTACCCCCCCAAAAAAAAAGGCTTAATATAGCATATTAAACTGAAAATTATTTCTCAGCTATTACCTCCCAAGTGTCATTTAACAAGAAAATATGCAATTCTCTGTGGTCTTATAAATCCTACGGCTATCAAATATAAATAAGCAAATCTGAACTAAAAAGGAAAAAAGCTGAAAACAAATAAAAGGATAAAATACAGTGAATAAATGGAGTATGATTTTGCCTAGAAATAGCTAAAGATTTCATGTAAAAAGTACAATCTGGCTTTTAAGAATTTATGTACTGAAACCATGTGCTGTTTAATAAATTTAGAAACATAAACCAAATTCCAATATAACTAGTTGAATGTTTCAAGGGCTCAGTATTATATACCATGTTTTTCCCCTTAATTCAACAAACTCCCTTGGGGCTGCACTCACCTGATAAGCATGTCATGAGGGCCAAGGCAAGCATAGCACCAGCCAACACAGTCAAACGGTTATAGCGCATGGCCATGATGGCCGCTATGAAAAACGTCTTATCACCCAGTTCAGATACAATGATAACTGATATGGCAGCAACAAACGCATGAATAAATCCTAAATTAGTTTGAGTAGCTGGATCTTCTTTATTGGCATGAACTGGGACTGCTGGTGTAAATCCTTTCTGAAATACAAAATAATTATCAGTTACTGTTTAAAAAAAATTCAAAATTCTCTTATTTTGAATTAAGACAGATTTGTTTGGGTTTTTTTTTTGTCATGATCATTATACTTACCATCTAAACATATCAGTAAAGGCAGTAATCTTTGACAGTGGTTATTATAATGCAAATGTATAATTCTTTAAAACAATTTCATAAAATATAAGCAGGGCATGGAATCCCAGCACTCTGAGAGGACGACAAGTTTGATCAAGCCCAGCCTGGGCAACCAACTGAGTGATAAACTCTGTCTCAAAAATAAAATGGGTTAGGAATATGTAGCCCAGTGTCAAGGCCCTGGGTTTAATACCCAGTACTTTAAAAAAAAAAAAAAAAGAAAGAAAAGAAAAGAAAGTAAGTACAGGCTAGCTCTACCCATACATTAAACTTACCTTATTTTAAGTATCTGTTATATGATAAGCTTTTCACTAAAAGAGTTAGCTTTTCACTACAACTCATTCAAATTTTTATTAGTAACTTGGGTGGAAGACTCAAGGTTGATCAAACATCCAAGTGACCTGAAGGTGAGAGAAATCTCATTGACACAGTAAAGGAGAAAGCAGGATCCAGCTCTCACAGGCTACCAAGGGTTAGCTCTAGCTAAGACAATATAACTGGATGTATGGGTGATAATATAATGAGGTTTAAAAATATCCTAGAACATAATGCGTCCTAAAATAAAAAACCAAACCCAAATGTTTGGTGGTGTTAAGATGAAAATGTGACAAAGCTCCAGTGAGCAATAAGCACTGTGTCTAGTGGTGTAAGTAACGAGCCCACTGGTATTCAGTGCAGCTCAGCCTTTCCACAATGTTCTGAAACCTCAGCTGCGTGGGAAGGAGATTCTATGGCCAGGATGTGGCATGCTACTGCGGAGGCCAAATCAAGACTGAGTGACTGAATGTATTTTACATTTTTTAAAGACGCAAGAGAAAGAGGCAGGGGGACAGGGATAGTGAAAAGATAAGAACTATTAAAGAGAAAGGAAGGAAAAGAGTAACTGAAGATTATACACCAGAGATCTTACATAGCCAGCACAGAAGTGACCTGCAAAACCTAAAATATTTCTGTCTGCCACATTACTAAAAAAGTTTGCTGGTTCAAGGCTCTAATACAATCACATGACAGACCAGGAATGACAGGGTATCTTTGTCCAGTACCTGGAAAAGTCTGTGTGTGAGTCTACTCACCCTGTAAGGTCCTCAGAAGTTGGACAAAAAAGAGAGCCCCTGAAGTGGGCTACAAGAGAATTAGGTATACTCCCTTTCTCAATGTCTTGAGACAGGAACTGCCACTCACAGGAAATGGGCTATGATCTCAACCATGGCCACTGTGTCTCCCCAGGTGGGTATATGGTGGTGTTTGGGCATATTTTTTTAGTTGTTACAACTAAAGGGGAAACTACTGGTATCTGGTGGGTAGAAATAATTACTAAACATCTACAATGTCACCCACAATGAAGAATTATCTAGCTAAAGATGTTTAACAGTTCACAGGTCAAGAAAAATCACTGGCTAGATAAGTCACTTCTAAACATTAAAAGCTCATCTTTAATTAAGACCTAAAAATCTCTAGAAGCTTAGGAGATAAAGAAAAAGATACCTACAAGCAAGTCGTTTTATTTTGGACAGAGTTAAAAAGAAGTAATATGTGTTACAAAGGTCCAGTCAGAGATGTCAGAAAGAAAAGTAAAATCCTAACTGTATACTGTGCAGGTAGGTCATTCTTCAACAAATAAAATAAGCTTGACTTCAAAACACCAGGGTAGAGATTAGAAGAATGTATGCATCACTCATACTAGACCTCTGAGTTGTACAGGAAAGGTAACTGACACTCTTGGCAGCTGGCTCTTGCTTTAGCAGCAGTGTCAAGGGGTCCCAGAGCTCCCATCACCGTTTTGGTTCTATCTATACTGGTGTTTTTTACATGTGAGCTCCTTTCTCTTCCAGTATCCAACAAGCACGAAGCATCCTGAACACAAAAGTGTTCAACTAGGATACTTTTATACATTCTGGATAAACTTATATAACGAAACTTCATTGTTAAGATGCAAGATCTGAAATCCAAGAAAAATCTTAGGGCTGAATATATACCATTTATGATCAGTCAGTTCCAAGCTCAAGTAAATGTTTACTTGTCAAATCAAGTCACAATAGTGATCAAAACAACATTATTTTCATGATTTTCTAATTTCCAATCTTAAAACTTTGGTCACATTAGTCTCTGCTTCCCTGTCAAACACAGAGGACAAAATAAAACTTGCCTTAAGAGTATGCAAAATAAAACATAAAAGCTACACATTCTTAAAGCACTCCTTTATTGAGAACACAAGAAAATTCAATTTACAAAACTTAACGTTAATCAACCATGGTGATATGAACTGAAGACAAAACTATCAGGGCACTGTGAAGACAGATTTTTTTAAAAAAACTAAAATATTAACACATTCCAGAAAGCTTGAACTGCCAGTGGTACATGAATGACTATCCCACCAGGTGGTTTGTATCACTGGTAAACAAATGATCTAATCACTTTTACTGATGCTTTTACTAATAAAATTAATTTTAAAATCACCCAAAGAGACAGTGATGTATGTACCACTGGTGGCTCAAGCCACCCAGGAGGAATATATGAATTCTGACCCTGTACTAACATGTTAATAGGTCAGAAAAGAATCAATTGCCGTTCATTTACCACTCACAACATGCAAGAATTACCTCTGTCTACCCCACCTACTCAATGACAAGGCAGTGTGTTTAAATTTGTAGGCTGTGGAATTAGACAAGAATTACTGTGATGTTGGGCCAGTTAGTAGACTCTTCTGTGACTCAAGTTGATGTATAAAGTAAGAGATAAGCATACCTCTGGGAGTGTTGTGATGCTTAAATTGAGTAAAAGGCCTAACATGGTGTCTAGTACACAGTAAGCACCCAGTTTTCATAGCACTACACATAACCAGCTAACCTTCCTAAAACAAATTCAATATTATATCACTGTTTAAGAAACTGCAAAGATTTTTTTTACAACTGCCATGTTGGTTAACTATCCAACACTTCCTACCTCCATTATACACAAGTTCACAAAAATGAGCCTCATACACTATCCTCACAGATGAGCCAAAGTAGCACTGTTTAACAGAAAATAAAGCAAGTCACAAAAACAAGCCACATAATGTATCTTTACATTTTCTGACAGCCACATCTAAGAAAGTAAAAACATCACGGTGTGCTGACACACAACTGCAATTGCAGCACTGAAAGGCAGAAGCAAAAAGATTGTGTAAGAACCTGTCTCAAAATTTAAAGAGGGGGCTGGAGATTTAGCTCAGTGGTTCCACCGCCTACCTCACAAGTTCAAGTATCTGATTTTGATCCCCGTACTCAAAAAAAAAGTTCAGAGAGGGAAGGGGAGCCAGGATTAGGGAAAAGCTCAGTAGTAGAACACTTGCCTACTACATTTGAAGGCCTGGGTGCAATCCCCAGTACTGCAAAAAAATAAGTGAAAACGGAAGTTTTTTGGGGGGTACTGGGATGGAACTCAGGACCTTACTCTTGTGAGGCAGGCATGTTGCCACTGAGCTAAATCCCCAGCCCTAGAAGTACTTTTAACAATACTTTAACCCAAAACATCCAAAATATTACTATTTAAATTATAGGCCAATTATATTAAAAATCACTAATGAAATAGTTTAACGTCCTTTTTTTCATACTGTTTACATATTACACTGTGTATCTACACCCGCATTTGTTTCATGGCTACATACTGGGTGGTACTGCCTAAGAGCAGGATATTTCTGTTGACCACAAGCCTAATCCCCCTAATTCATCCGATCTAACTCAAGGAGAACTTGAAAAATGCCCATCCGAGTAACTCCAGGCCTTAGTGATCTACCCGTCTAAAATAAAAGTGAATGCACACTATGGGCAATGAGTCACGGCAGTTTCCACTTTAAACTCAATATGTCCCAGTATGATGACACACACCTTTAATCCAGCCCTCTGGGAGGCTGGGGCAGGACTGCAAATTCAAGTCCAGCCTGGGCAGTTTAGCAATAACCTGACTCAAAATAAAAAACGGTTTGGGATGCAGCTCATGAAGGTTCCTGTATTCAATTACCAGTGCTGTAAAGTTATAATTATTATAAATGATTAATTTAATAACTTGTTACATTTATATATAATTTATTAAATATTGTGGCAGTGAAAGAATAAAAATGTTCTATACATACTAATATAAAAAAATCACTAAGGGCTGGGATTTAGCTCAGTGGTTCCACTGCCTGCATGGCAAGCACAAGGTCCTGAGTTCAATCCCTGGTACAAAAAAAAAAAAAAAAAAAAAAAAAAAAAAAAAATCAGTAAGACATTTTAAGTTAAATATATAATTATATGTGTAGTTACATGTATTTAGCAGTATATTAGCACTATAATACAGAAATACATAACTGTAAACATACAACTGCAAATTCTCAAGAAACAAGTTAACAGTAGACATTTCTAGGGAAGGAACCAAAATGACTAGAAGAGGGGTCAGCAAACATTTTCTTAAATAACAAAATATTAGTAGCTTTGAGGGCCACAAACTTTCTGCAGTAATTACCCAATTATGCTGCTGTAACTTGAAGGCAGCTGTATGTAATATTTAAATAAGTATGGCTCTGCTCCAATAAAACTTTACAAAACACAGTGAGCTGGGTGTGGTGGCACATGCCTATTCAGGAGGCTGAGGAAGGATTGCAAACTTGAGGCCATCTTGAGAAACTTAGACCCAGTCTTTTTTTTTTGTTTTTGTTTTTCGAAAAGTTTAATTAATACAAATCACTGTATATGTGAGATACAATGTGACAACTTTGCACATGTACACAGTGATGATCAAATCCAGGTAGTTAACATTTCTAGCTTCCTATATATTTATCATTTCCTTGCAGGGAAGCCTAGGGGCTCTTCTGGTTTGGTTTGGTTTTGAATTT